CACATTACTGAGTTCAACTGCTAGCTTGAGATGCAGCCTTGGCTTGCCTGGACCATGGCCACCATGTGATGACTGGGAGGAACTCAGAAGATTTCACTCTATGATGCTAGACATTTTATTAATCACAGCTGACTTTTTTCAGCCCCAGGTAAACCAGCATCCATTATCCCAGTAAAACAAATCTTTTACTTCCACAAATGTTTTACTTCCATTGGATAGATATTTATCACACACACACACACACACACACACACACACACACACGCACAGAGGGAGAGAGAGAGAGAGAGAGAGGGGCTCGGCCCTAATAGAATCTTTGGGGAATTCTCCAATTTTCCTCTAAAATTCACAAACCCTGGACTCCATCATCTGCATTCTCAGATTTTTTACTTCTTAGACTACTAATAGTACTTCACATTGATTTTTTAAAGTAAAATCAAATTTGTATCTATACTGATCTTCACAAATATGTATCACTGAATATGTTTTGCTGATATATTCCTTTGGGATTTTATATGTATATGAAAGATATTATCTGTAGCTCTTTTTAAATATATACTCTATCATTTTATTTCAGGGTAATTGCCTCATAGGATGAGAACTGATCTTCTATATTTGGGAAGTTTACACAGAGATTTTTATCATTTTTCCTTAAATGTTTGATCAAATCCAACAGTTACTCCACTTGAATGTGGGCTTTTCTTTGTGGGTAGATTTTTAAATAATACATTTTTAAAAAAAATCTCTACGTTCCTTTATTGGAGCAAGATTCCTGATGTATATATACAGTGATGTATTTACTAAACAGAGTGCTGTGCAGAAATTACACACTACCCATCTAGACAGATTTTGGTTACACTTTGCCTGTTGATGGAATAGTTCCATTTATAAAATTTTATTCATCCAAAACTTTGAATTTGACCAGGCTGTCCATTAATCTCTGAAAAAGTGGCATTTAATTTTAGCTCTATTTTACATTAAAAGGCTTATGCATCAGGTAGCTTCTCAAAACATTCTCTGCACAATGGCGTTGAGCAGACAAGAGCTCTTTACCCACCCAGATTCCAAGTCACATCTGAGAGCTCCTGCTCTATACCTGGTATAGAGCACTCCTGACCACCCGCTGGACTTCATACTTGACAGCCTGCTTTCTTGGCCAGTTCACACTGCCAATGTAGACATGCCAGTAGCTGTCCTTCATACAGATGGCATTAGAGTAATAGGTCTGTAACACAGTAGGAGCAGGTATATCCAGGCAACTAAAGGCCCATTTTTTTAAAAAATGCCAAACTGAGATAAAAATAATGGGTCCAACTCCATGGTCACCCAGCTCCTGGTACTTTCCTGCTTTCATTTTCTTTTTAAATCAATCCTAAACAATGATGTCTTTTTAAATATTTACTTCTTGAACAAGTTTTGACAGTGTTACCTAAGGCCTTGTCAAGTGTATTTGCAACAGCTACCTTATTAACATAAATTTATACATAGTTTCTGATAGCCTAAATTTCTGTAGAGTGGGTCATGTGATATACCTATTTTTATGCCTAATTTGGGACACTTGTATTTTTTCTTGTTTTGTAAATGCGTCCTTTTTTAAAAAAAGCTTTTAAATTTTATTGATTTTACTTTTATTTTTCTGTGCATTAATTCCTCGTTCATGTTTGATGTGTGTGTGTGTGTGTGTGTGTGTGTGTGTGTGTTGTGCTTTTTTTTTTTTGTCTTAAAGACAAACTATTGGGACCCTCTCCCAAAGCAGTGCTTTAAGGCAGTAAGTGCCTTTCAGATAGTTTAGATGGAACTGGGAAATTTCAATGTTTTCTTTTTGTCCAGGTAAAAATACTTCCTAATTTTCTTTGCCTTTTTAGTCATTGAGTAATTTAATTTCCCAATATATTTCTATTGTGGAGTCCTAATTTGATTTCATTGTTACCAAAGAGGATATCCTGTATGATCCCATTCATTTTAAATTTATTCACACCTGTTTTATGACCCACCATATGGGGCTATCCAGGAGAACAGACACTTTTAAATGAGTATAAATTCTGCTGTTATTAAGTAAAGTGGTCTGCACTTACCATTTGTGTTGAGTGTTTTTTATGGCCTCTATATACTTAATGGTTTTTGGCCTAATTTCCCACCCATTACTGAGAGTATTGAAATAATAGACTTTTGCTGTCTGCCTCTCCATTCTATTATCCCCACCCCCTTTTTGCAGCTGATGGGCAGGCACGCTATCATTGGGCTACACCCTAAACTCCCAATTCTACCAATTATATTGTTGGGTACAGGGCCTTTACAGTTCTTGGATCATCTTAATGTGTTGGCTGCCTTACCACAGTGAAATCTTTTTGCCCTACAAAGACTTAATTTCCTTAAAGTCTATTTTCTGTGACCATTATAAGTGTCTTAGGGTTACTCTCTCTGTGTGTGTATACTCTGCTGTTAAGTACTGACAGTCTTGTTGTTGTTGTTGTTGGTTTTTTTGTTTTTTTTTGTTTTTGTTTTTTGTTTTTGTTTTTTGTTTTGAGACAGGGTTTCTCTGTGGCTTCAGAGGCTATCTTGGAACTAGCTCTTGTAGACCAGGCTGTCTTGGAACTCAGAGATCTGCCTGCCTCTACCTGCCTCCCAAGTGCTGGGATTAAGGTCTTGTGCTACCAACGCCCAGCTAAGTACCGACAGTCTCATAATACAGGATCCAATTTTACCCTATTATAATTCATAGTTGACTCATTTACTTTGCAAGCTTTTTCCTAAGAAGGATGATATCCATTCCTTAATCACCATTACTCATCGTTTCAAACAGTTTTGGGTGCAATTATTTGATTCATTAGAAGCAGTAAGAGATAAAAACAAAACTACTCCTTTACAAGATAATCCAATTTTTGGTGCATGGTGTTGTTACCTGGCATTTTTTTTTTTTTTTACCTTCTGGCTGGATTCTGAAAGGTGGGGATGTTTGTCTGCCTTCCTGCTATTTCCCATGTGATTGTGAACTGATGAAGGAGGTAAAGCCCAGCTCCCATTTCAATGTAAGCACCACATTTTACGAACACTAGTTTGAATCAACTGGCTAATTCTAAGACTTGTTGCTTGTCCATCGAGGCTTAGGTACAATTCAAACTACCTCTTAAACTGTAAATATATGTTATATATTAAATGAAATGTGCACATTGTTATCTGACAATTAAAATACTGTTGAGCTCTTATAAACCATTATTTTATAAGGTAATGTAACAACTGTGTGCTTTTCTAATGTTAGAGGACTTATTCTGGTATTATTTAGTATTTTTAAGCCTTGTTTATTTGTAAAAATTTTACTGAATATTAAAGTTTAGGCTAGGAAATTATTACCCAGGTGACACCTTTCAAGTTAGAAGGGATTCCAACATGATACATTAGCCTCATCTTGCCTAGAACTTAAATCTAGACTGCTCAACAAATCATTTCACACAGGTGAAAGACCTTTGTTTTGAGACAGGGTCTCAGGTGGTTCAGAGTAGACTAAAACTTGCAATGCAGCAGTGGGTGTCTTGAACTCCCAATAATACTCTTTCCTTCACTTTCCAAGTGCTGAGATTACACGTGTTGTCACCATGCCTGGCAAAGTCATTAAAAAAAAGTTCGCTGTACTCTTAAATGCCAATGATACATTTTACTTATATTTAAAATAGGATAAAACTGTTTTTACTTACTTGTTGTTGTTGTTGTTGCTGTTGAGACAAGTAGTCATATAGCCTAAGCTGGTCTTGTAATTATGTAGCTGAAACTGGCCTCAAACTCCTCACCTTTCAGTCTCTACCTTCAAACTATTGCGTTTATTGGAGTGTACCACTATACCCTGCTCCCTAAGTACACTCCTAAAGTCCTATCTACAGTTTTAGGGGTTTTTTTTGTTGTTTTTTTTCTTATTGGAAACTTGATTTGTGGGTCTTTTAAAGTCACTTCTGCATTTAATGGCATGAAAATGACAAAAACAACCTAAGTATAGAAAGGTGTTGAGGGTGACAGAGAATAGAGGCATACTGATAGAATGAATGCATTATGATTATCAGAAGGAAAAATGAGTCCCCTCCATTTGAGAAATTGTGCTTATTTTTTCTAAGGAGATATATTTCAATGTGAAATTTACTTCCCCCTATTCACGTGGGTTTCCGTTTCCAGGAATGCAGTTTTTCATCGTCAGTCTTGGACCAACATACTCTTTACCTTAAAAGGGTTAAATTACAAGGTTCAAGAATTCATCCCTGGAGTTGCTAATAATTTTGCTATTTGAAAGTCTCAAATATATCTCCTATAAATGAGCCAGATTTCCACTTAAATTCCATCTCCAAGATAAACATTTCTAGGAAGAGTTCTATTATAAAGATAAAGCGTTTGTGGCACAGGAAGTTTTAATCCACTAACACTGCTGCTAAAACCTTTGGTAAGTCAACAAAGGGCTACCTGCACCCTGCCCTGAAAAAGTGGAACTTTCCTCCAATTACTAAAAAAATGTATGCCAAAGACTGTTACTTGCATGAAATTAATGCAGCATTGCCTTTAACTGAAGCTGAGTCCTAATACACTGCCCACCAAACAGGTTCCACACTAGAAGCAGAAGGGGAAATTGCGTCATCTGACCAAAGCCTCAAATACCATCTACCTCAACCCCTTAAAGTAGGAAACACGCAAAGCAGTGCAGCCTCGGATCTGCGCTTGGGGACTGAAATGTACACCATGGCCTTGTTTTGCTGGCCTACTTTCTGGGATAAGCAGCTCTCTCGAGACCCATGTGGCGCAGACAGGGTCTCCCTGTCCACTTCGCGGGCTGCACTGGGCCAGACAGGAACTTTCTCCACCTTGAGGAGCTGGCCATAGGCGGGGCTGTTGCGCTCTGTGTGTGGTTAGTGGTCACTAGTGACTTATGGCGGTGAAGGGACACTGAGGGCTGAGCTGGACGAGCCCAATGCGTCAGCCAGAAGAGTCTGAGAAAGGTCGAATGCGGCACTGAGCATGCGCGGCCGGCCGCGCTTCTTTCCCCGGACCGCCGGAAGTGGAGCTTCCGGAATAGGCTTCCGTGCGGGAAGTGGAGCTTCGGTATTCAGAGTCCGAGCGTGATGACGCGCGTACGCGGGAATACGTGAGGACGCAGGCGGGTCTTAGAGAGAGTGAGTTTCCGCATCTGTTCGGTTGAGTTTGTGGCGTCGCTTTTGTGCGGCATGTGTCGCGGCTTTCCCGAACCGCAGATGGAGGGGCCGGGGCTGAGATCCGGGTTGGCGGGTCCGGGCGGAAGCGCTGCTTTGGGGCCAGGGTCCGCCGGGCGGAAGCGCTGCTTTGGGACCGGGCGGGAGGTCGGATCCGGCCGGCTGGTGTGGGTCTTCTCACCCCCTCAGGTTTGGGGCATGGGGGGAAACGGCACCGTCCAGTCTCAGCCGGATCACTTTCCCGGGCTTATAGAGGTCGTGGCTTCCCGATGGGCTTTTGATAGATTCCTCTGATATCAGGAAGTTTGAGGCGAAGTTGCATCAGCCACAGGGTTTGCAGTGGCTTCCGTCTCAACACGCAGACGATTACTAATTTGTGAAAGGCTGTCCCACGTTATAGGGGACAGAAATACGCCCGTAGGACTTATCTCTTTTCTGGCCCCACAAAAAGCTCGTATAGTATGCTTTTCTGTTGTTATAAATTATTTTTTTAAAGCTGTAAATATCTAGTTAAGATTCAGTTGTCAGGCTGTTTTCAATTCCCTTTCAGTAGCTTCGTGGCCCCCACTTTCTTTTAATGTGTGGGGTGTCTAGTCATCATCCCTCTCTACTTTTTGTTCTAAATCCTAACCTCCTCCTTCCTGCTTCTGTTACTGATTCTGCTTCTACTCTGCTAGTGTTCTGACTCATTCCAGGAGAGCAGGTGATCCTGAGAGAATAATCATGCTTTGGTCTCGGAGTTGCCCCATAATCAGCATCTTCTGGGAAATTGTTGGCAATACAAATTTTGGTGTCATGGCCCTTTGAGCACGACTTCTGGTTCATTCCAGTGCTAAGTTTAACGAGTAGCATAGCCGTAAATAGCACTTGTTGTGTAGTCACAGGTGATGTTTGAAGATGAAGTCACTTAACAGTGACTTCATAGTGCTAAGCATTCCACGTGAGAACAAGTGTGTAGCGCCAAAAACATTAATGTTATGCTACTCAGAAATCAGACATTACTAAGTTGCTAGACCTGGATGAAGAAAGCCTGTAGATTGTGGAGAAAGGACAAATTGCAGGGTTACATAGGAGTCTGAGTTCGTGGATATTGTGATTGCTGTATAGAGGATACTTCTTTTATCCTAGTCACGTTCTGAATAGTGAAAATGTAGACACAGGACAGCTTCTTAGCTGGATGTCGTGGCTCACATCTGTAATGACAGTGTTCTGGAGGCTGAGGCAGGAGAAATTACATGTTGGAGGCCAGCCTGGGATACACAATGAGACCGTATGCAAAACAAAACAAAACAAAAACAAAACAAAACCCAAGGTTACAGCAGTAGGTGCTGATGCTAGTATTATTATGTAGCTTTTTAGAAAATGGACGGATAGTAATGGTGATAAGGTAATTTAAGGTTCTTTGGCCTTGTTGTTCCGTCAGCTTAGTTATACCAAAGGTTGGCCCAGAATTTGGTAAAGGCCAGAATGGGGTTGAAAAGAGGCGTAGAGGAGAGGCTAGCACCCCAAAGCCAAAGCTGGTAATGTTCCTGTCCTTATCTTTTGTCCTCATATGTTGTACAGCTTTATCACAGGGAATACAGTGTGGTGTCCACTTCTGTGAAGAATGGAAGTTAAGTGAAACATGCTCTCATCCTGCTCATTTTTTTCAAATTGCTACATGTAGCATTTTCTAAAAACTCCTCCTTTCTCCAAGGGTGGTCCTGGTGGAACAAAGAATCATGGAGGGTTTGAAGCTGCTGCCCTAGAGCCTAGGCTTGTTACAGTGTTGAGAAGTATCAGTGACTAACTGTGGCCTGTGTAACACATGACTTTGCCTGGACAGCACTGGTACTCAGGCCATGCTGAGACTCTGGGAAACCATGGGGAGTGCATTTTCAAATAAATATGCTGCTTGGGATACCAGTTTCTGTCAGTAACAGTTAACCTTACCATCAAAGTGATACTGTCCCATCATGAAACATTGTTTTTCAAAGGCTCCAAGTGAGGATGTGTAGCTGCGGTTCTGAGTCAGACCAACCCTGCTTGAATCCTGCCTCCCCTGTGCATTGATTATGCCCTATAGACAAATTAGCATCTTTCCGGTTTTAATTTCTCTCCCTGTAAAGGGGAAGTCATAGCAGCATCGCCAGCTCCTAAGTTAAATGGGATAGTGTGTTAATTGTTATTTGTTACCTCGTTATAGGTTAGGCAGTGTCTCTTGTTGAAAGGGGAAGAAATGACTATCAATTCAATTCTGACTGCCCTGTTTATTTCCTAATCATCTGTTACACACGAGGTCATTTCACTACCTGGCCACTGCTCTTTTGAAGTAATGAAGATGCTAAAGTGAGAATCAGGATTTCATGCTATTGTGTGAGAGAGAAAACACTTGGAGAAAGTTACAACTCAGTTTGGTAGAAAAACATTAGTTATTTCTAGGTATTGTTTTCATAATTTCCAGAAGATTAAAGATACTTAATGTCAAACTATCTTTGATTTTTCTTTAACTGATTTTTTTGGGTACAGAGAGATTAGTTATTTCTAGGTATTGTTTTCATAATTTCCAGAAGATTAAAGATAATTAATGTCAAACTATCTTTGATTTTTCTTCAACTGATTTTTTTGGGTACAGAGAACTCTGTCATGTGATGCTGTTTATGTTATAGAAGATGATACCTCTGCAAATAAATGCATAAAATTATTACTACCCATAAAATAATTGATATTTTTCAATATGTATGCTTTACCTGGAATACTGGTGTGTTCTACTTTCTTTAAAAAGTACAAAGTCTTTATGTTTTCTTCATGTTTTTTACACAACTATGAATGTATGTACATGGAATATACTTAGAGGCATTCATAGTGGGCCATACTTTTGTTTACTTTGTAGTGTATTATATGAGGGTAAGGAACAAGATATAAAAATAAATACTCTATACACTTGTATGTATACGTATATTAAAATTATTGTAAAAAGCCATTAAAATTTTGAAGCTTTTTAAAAAATGTACTTTAATGGAGTCATTATTCCATCCAAGCAGTGATTCTCAGTCTTTTGTTTATTTTGTTTTAACTTGGGGCCTCTTAAGCAGAAATTTACACAGAAAGTTCAAGCATTGAATGGCTCTAAGATCTGTGAAGTTGGAGGACACAGGCTTCTGATCCAGAATTCATCTAGAAAACTCGATTCTGGGGATCTGTGTGACTCACTGTGAGTGGCATAGCTCCAAGAGGGAGCTGTACCTAAAACTATGTTAAGAATCCAGGTGCTTGGAATCCTTAGACATGTCCTGCAGAGTTGCTAGATTTGTCTCCAGGGCAAGCATCTGCCTGGGTTCTCATACAGAGGCATGGGCGACTACTTAAAAACAATAACAACAACAACAAAAAAATCCCAAAACAAATACAGTCTTAAGTCTGACCCATATTTTGCAGAAATAGGATTCTGTGCAGAAAAACAACAAACCCCATAGCTTTCTAAAAATCCCTCTTACACCATGACAGCTTTATCAATATTAAAACCTCCTTAGTATTTTAAGTGTTGTTAGTATCATAAGTGACTGGGGAAGAGAAACAATGAGTCAGAAGAAGTATACAGTATTACTTGTGTACACAAGCCAGTGTTTTTGTTGTGTGACAGTATCTGGTTTTCATTCTTATGGCAAAGTAGTTTTTGTTTTGTTTTTGTTTTACTTAATAGTGACTCCCCATAAAAATAATTTCAAATCTAACCATTTGTTAGCTTGTTATTAGTAGTGGTGGTAGTAATACTGTCCTTTTCACACATTGAGAGGGGTTTCCTGGTGACAGCTGCAGAGTGGGGGAGGGGAGCCACTTTCAGTCAACCAGCTGCTCCTTGCAGCATCCTGATGGTGATATTTCAAAGCTGGTGGATAATTCTGGCTGTATTCAGAAAAGAAAATGTGTCATATTTCTGGGATGCAATAGATAGTGCGCAAGAACCCTTTGGGATCTAGATGATAGCCAACTGACAGCGTGTGCAGTCAGGCTTGCATGTCGGTGTTATTTACCAGCTAGTTTCTTGGACATTGTTACATGCACATCATAATTACAAAGCAATAAAGTCCAGTTCCATGGGGAGAAAGTCTCATTACTTTATGGACAGGAAGGGAAAATGAAAACGGAACTTCAGTGCTGTACTGCATGCTGCTTCATCTGTCTTTTTCCATGACTTTAGGAAGTAAGTGGGATTTTCTTTAGCCAATGGATAACAAAGCAGGAAGTTCAGGATTGAGGACATGGTTTGGCCTAGGTTACACACCATATTTGACCCCTTCTGACTTTAGCTTCAGGGATGTTACACCATCCGCTGTTTCCCCAGGGTGCTAAATGACATACATTGTTTAAACCAGAGTCCCAATATTAGGCCAGCAATGAATGAAATTTATGGATGTATTTTATAGTGACTTCGGAGTGATAATATGTAATGTGTGTGCATGTCATAGCTATTCGTAATTCTGATTCTTTTTTCATTGAACAAAGTGGGGAAATACTGAAACTTTGACATCTTTCTTTCAGCAACTTTGTTGTAATGAATGAGTTGTGGTTCAAATTTTGAGCCATTATAGAAAGACGACATCTACTGCTACATAGTCTCTTCCCACTGAACCCATATTCTTTCCTTTCTGTCAAGGCATGCTAATTTTGTGTTAATAAAGGGCCTGTTAGCCTTCTAAATTTCCATCCTGAAAAGTCCTTTAATTTCTGTGAGATGGTTTTACTGTTTTGGAGAGTTTTGGGAGTCATATCATCTTCTTCCTCATGGCGTAAGGCCAGTGTTTATCCTAGTGCCACGGCCCTAGAAAACCTTCAAGCTTGCTCTGTTCTTTCCTCTGTGTGCTTGCAGACGTTTATGCAGTTTTGAAGTAGTTGTTCATCGTGTGCTAATGCTGCTGTGGAGGGCGTTGCCTTTCTAGGCTGTGGCTTCCTCAAAGGACTAACTTGTTCAACCGAGGAGTATA